ATGATTTAAATCTACAGCGTCTCTGTATTGCAGATGTTCTCATCCCTGACCATTATCTGCTAAATTTTCCTATCATTTTTTTTTTTAATTCTTCTTATTATACATCTTCTCATCACATATTAATGCCTTCTCTACCTCTCTAAAAACTATTTATTTGGGACCAAAAATCAACCCTTGCCTTGATTACAAAAATCCTGACTATTTAAGGTGTGTTAAACCTAAGCTCATTTTAGAGATGGGTTAACTGAGGCAAGGAAAATATGAGTTTCACCAACTGCTTAGCTGGAGGTCTCCAAACTTCTAGATATGTTTGTTGGTTTCCAACTGGGCTCCGAGTTTATTCCCACAAATTCTTCTTTAAATATTGTAGTCATACTGCTGCCAAAGAGCCTCTGAACCTAGTAGGGAAGTACAATCACTACATTTTTCTCCATAGCACACACACCAGGTAAAACGCAGACCTGTTAATCTACCCAAATTACCCGAGAATGCCTAAGTATGTGTGCTATCACTCATACTTAGCATTGTATTCCACAACAACAACCTTCTCTCCAGCTATAGGAACAGCAGAGATTAAATACAGACAATGAAAAAGGGGAGGTAAATCAGAACAAGAAGCAAAGCACAAAATCAGGAGAAAGCATTTTAAGGACAAACATGAAATCTCTCTAGTTCTCTGCAAATATCATGCAATTACCTATGCAGTCTCCCAAGTCTTCGAAAACCGTAACATTTTTAATGAACAGAAAGGTTCCAAGGATGACAGGATCCAATCCTCTCCATTTTCAGATGCTATCTACTTGTTATTTTTTTTCTTTCCTTTAAAGCTAGACTCTCCCAACTTTCTTCTGCGCTGTAACTCACATTTCCCCCAGTTTGCAGTAAAGAAGTGTTTGAGGTTTTTTGTTGTCTTCCTGCAATCTTGTGCCTTAAGGTTAAGCTTCTTTCTCATCTCTTTCGAAGTTCTGGAGAAATCGGCCAACAACTCTAACCTGAGTTAACCAGTCACTGCCCTGCTCCCATTCCATGTGGGCATTCTACTTTTTCTGCAATCATTTCGTACCTCCTTACCATTCTGTGGAGAATGTGATTTCTCTCCTGGCACATGTTTCCACTCTTTGTTTGTTTTCAATGTTCTTATTTACCATGTTCCTATTCTGAGATCATTGAGGGCATTACATTCTGTAGGCATATATTACGTAGAGAAGAATCTCTAAGATCTGACTGTTCCAATACTCCCGTAAGCCAAAAAGAGCTCTGCTGGCAACATAATAGTCTTTTCTTGCTGACAGTGAAATATCTAAGGTAAATTCATGTTTTCTCTCGTTCTCTTGTTGCTACAGCTGTACACTAAAAGTTGGTGAAGCAGTAAGAAAAAAGAACTGCTTCTTTTCCCAACAAACTTCGTTAAAATTCCAGCACCAAAAAACAGGTACTCTGAGGTGACTGTGAGGAAGTTCCTGTCAGTATCAGGATGCACAAGTGGTTTACAAACTTGGAATCAACATTTTGGTTCTCCTAATCCAGATATCCAGGCTCAGGCTCTAATTCTATAAACCACACACAACACAGGACATTTTAAAAGAAAGCAGTAATTATAAGCAAGGGCACTTTCCAATCTCAATCATGACATTATCATGAAGACTTTACAGTAACAGAAACTATCTCTGATCTTTCGTACAACTAACTTCCTCTCAGTCTGTGTTCTTATTCTTTTTGTAACTAGCTCCTATTTTAATGTTGACAAGAAAAAGGAGAAAATCAAAGATCATTCATTTCAATACTGCACAAATAAAAGCTAACTTTTGGCACTATACTAGTACTTTAAAAATTTAGCATTAGGAACAACATTTGTCAACAGTAGCTATTTATCTGTATCTGACATTTTACCAATACTTGTAAACAAGGCACTACTTACGTTTTTTGGAAGGCATTGTTACAGCCCACCATTGAATTTACATGCATTATATTAAAAATGCACAGACATGTGTCTCCCCACACACCACCCCCTACTTCTACTTCCTTCAGATAGTTTCTCTGTTGTTCATTTCTCATGTAGCTGCAAATACTAAAATTACAATCACATTCTGTAATATGATCATATTTAAAGTCTATACTTCTGAAAATTCATTTACAAAGGACATCATTAAAAGTTCCATAAAATGACTGCAACAATTTGAAAAGGACACCTCTAGTATTAGTAAATCCAATTAGTGCACATTTGAAAAATATCTCCACCAGTTCATAAACTACGACCAGCTTCTGCAACACACTTTTCAAAGACTTTTGCAGGAATTCTAAAGTACAAAATGGAACTTTCCCTGCAGAGAGGTGAAAATACAAAGAACTGCCAAATATTAAGTAATACCAAAAGCCTTTTAAGTATCAAACATTGAACAGAATTTTAGCTTAACTAAAATTTTAGCTCACATAAGTAGCAAACCAGAATGTAGAATATCTGACAGAAAACACTTCTTTCTCCTTTCTTAAGCAAGACTGAGAAGAATGAAAACTCACAATCCAAAGGAGAAAAACCAACAAGGATGTAGGTGGCAATCATAGTGAAGAAGAGAGCTGTTGACTGTAGCACACAACAAAAACTGCACTCTCACTTATTTAATACTGTACTTGTGCGTGTTGGGAATTGGTTTAAGAGGAGCTATGGCTTGATACTTCATCACTCAGAGCGGCTGTAAAATGAATCAGTCAACACTTAAAAGCTCACACAATATTTAACAATGGGGCCATAAATTCCTGTGCCTACCACAAACTCTAATTTGGAATAATTACAGGCTATCTACATATATTTTCCTGACATTCTCAAATGTGTACACTTTTTTAACTGTTCCGCAACACTGGTTTGTACTTTGGGGCTACTTGCCACACCGAAAGCTGTTCCAGAGGCTATATTTATTGGAATGGAAGCATTTTGCTATAACTTACTTAAGACATCAGCTTTATCAGGATGATAAATACTCAGTCTGTTGCATCAAACGTTAGCAGCTTAGAAATATGGCTTCAAGCATGGTTTGATGGGCTGTTACAAAAATTCTTAATTAAAAAGTAAATGCTCAGAGCAAAATAATTTAATGCAAAATTAAACTCAGTATGCTAATTCAGGTACTGTGGTCTGAAGATCAGTATTAGAATATGTTTTATATGTTTAATATTCCAGAATTCATGAGAATTTTATATGCTAGATCTTCAAAACATTAATTTATGTGTAGAAAAAATGTCCTGATAGCTTTTCTGACAAATTCTAACCTTCTGTGCTAGCATTTTCACTTATTATTACACTTATTTTAGTTTTTTCCAGGCAAGACGAGGTTATACATTTGTAAATGATGACTCAAAAAACTGCTTTACGCTTTTTCATTCTTACTGCTTTTTCGCTGATGATACCCTCGTTTCCCAGAGGAATCTAGAGGTTCAACACAGTGATGGCAACAGACTATCTTTTAGACACTTTAAGAAATATGTAAACATTTGTTTGCAACTTAGTTACGTACTTCCATTTCATATCATTTGACCACCAGTAAAATATTAATTTTAATTGAAAAGCCTCAAATAATACAGTATTATACCATAGCTTGCTTATTTTTCCATGTAATACAAAAGCTTCAAGGTTCTTTTAATTAATAGAATTCTTTTATAAATAGAAACAGAAAAACTGACTTTCCTCTTCAAGTGGTGGGGACTGAAGCTGCTATTAGCAAATACTGGTATGATCCCCAAATGAAAGCAACTTCTGACTTTTTCTTAAAGCAATGATATATATATATAATTCTACATGGATCAATGTTCTGTATGCTTATTTCAACTGAAAAGCAGCTCTTCCAATCACAGTGTAACACCACTATACATGGAATAATTTACAGTAATTCAGCTTGATACTGAACTGACTGATCTATCTTGCATGAAGCACCATACAAAACACAGGCTTATTGCCCACGTCTGTACAGTATTATTGTCAAAAAAGTTTCAGACTGCTCTAAATTTCCCCAAACAATTAAAATCCAACCCAAATCCCTGTCCAGATTAGCATGCTGTCCCATGTCAGAAACCAACACAAACAATACCAGACATTTTCTATTAAAGCTCAGTCAACGAAAAAGCTTAAGCATACATTTACAAATTTCATACTACTTTTTTCAAACCTGCTGTCAAAACATCTACACTCTTATGAGTATGTATGCTTATGTTTGATTTTTTCCTCATCTTTTTAATTTGACTATCAGACTTTAGTCACTGCAAAATAGTGCAGTTACAAATACATGGATTTGATCCAGCAGCTTTGAAAGAAAGATCAGATAATATGTCATTATTACATAAATCAGACATGCACTATGGTGTACCCAATTATTATGTCACACCATTTAAAAGACTACTTATTCTTTCTTTTAAACAGCATAGATAGATTTTTAACAATCAAGAGCTCTATAATTGCAAGTGCAGACCTCAGAAAGACTCCAAATTTGGTTTCCAAGATGTTTTAATTAAATCCCAAGTCCAAAAGGTCTCCAGAACAAAGCAGACAGGAAGAATATTAGCCAGAAATAAGAAGCTCTATGACACTAATACCAGAGATGAACTTACACTGCTTTAATGGCTGAAGAACATGCCTTTATTTTAGCTTCTTAAAAGATGAAACAGCTACAAAGTAAATCTCCCTAAAAGTTCAGGTGGTTTAGAATCTCTGCCTCCAGTTTCAAGATCATCTCTGATAAATATTAGTACTTTTTCTTAATTACCCATACATGTATAAAATTTTAAGTGTTCACACAAAAGGAGCAAGAACCAATAACAAGAATACATTTAGCATTCCCAACAGTTGTGGGGATTCGGTTTGGAACACCATGATAATAACTCTCTCTGAAGTATCAAAAGATGTTTTTACCATCATGTTTTAAAATTAAATACAAATGTTCTCAAGTCTCCCTCAGCTTTGACTTACGTCTTAGATAATACCCAAATAACATATGTATAGCAAAAAGTCCTTCCCACATGCTCTCATTTCCAGAGGAAAACACTAATCTAACCTACCATTTTAAAGCTATTATTAAATAACTGTTTGAAATAATAAAATCAGAGCACGAATTTTAATAGAACATTCTCATCCTCAAGTTTTTTTACATTTTCAGCTTTTTCCCATTCCAATAATCTAGATATTGCAAGATTAATTCTAACTCTTGAGCAGTGTTCACAGTACTTTCTTTAGCATTTTGCTTATTATCAAGCCACTGCATTCGTATATTTCTAGCTCCACAGTTTGTAAAATGAAAAGAGAGTTACCTACTGCACCATTAATTGCTAACCTGACACTGAAACAGTAATTTCACTGTCATGGTGATGGGACTGATAACTTCTGTATAACTCCACTCCCCTAACAGGTACAGTAATAAGCTGTTAGTTCTTTAGGCAAAAGCCATAAATCTGTTGGATAAAGGCTTCATTCTTTGCCAGTAATCAGTAACTTCAGGGCCTTCTGTAGATTCTGTACAGCAGTGCTCACATCTTCATATTGCAAAGCACTGCCAGCGTATTTGCAATATTTTTGAGCTCTGGCAAAGTCCTCTGGAGTCAAATGGACTTCCCCTGCAAAAACATAAGTATTACAAAGTTACTATAAAGGAAATCTGATTGAGGCTTCCTTTCTGTAATTTCTGTGGTTTACTTATATGTGCGGTAATATTATGAAAAGCAGTAATATTTGTGGTAATATTACAAAGACCAAGCTACGATGTTTCTTCTGTTCACTTTTCTTTCCATTCATGTAATGCTTAACTTCTTTGCTGCTGGCATTCTGAAAAATGTAAGAGGATCTTTCTACACACTGGTATTTATATAACTCAGTGTCTTTCAAAAGTAAGTCAATACCTTTGAGAAAGATCTGCTCTTCATCTAAGACAGCAAAGGAGAGCTTTATAACAACAAGTTAGCTGTAATCAATCTTGTACCTGCAAGAAACAAGGACAGTGGGTTTTGTGCTTACAGTATAATTACTTTGCTCTCTTCTTCAGGAATAATACAGTTAGAAACTGTTCCTTCTGAAATGGAGTAACTATTCGAACTGCCGAAACATTTCTCACTGTTTCTGGTTTTGTACATTTTATATTTCTGTTTATCAAGTAATATTTATGTTTTCAATTTCATTACGTAAGATGAACGAAAACAAAATTGATCTCATTAAATGTGCACATTTTTGTAATACCAGAGAACACTAGCAAAAAAACTCTCATAGTACAAAACAATTAACTGTTATTTATTACTCAGAATATTTTCTTGACCTACGTTAAAACATTGAGAATTCTGTGCTGCTCAGACACATGCACTCAGGCTTCTAGAAAACACAGTGGGGACTTATGCCTTAACTGGCAGAAGACTTAATATGCGAACAGCATCACTGATGTGTGCATAAAGTAAAGCACAGTTATGTTACTGTCCCTCCTTCCACCCACAAATTCACTGAGAGTTTCAAGGCTAATCCCATGGCACTCCAATAACCTACGGATAGATTATAAAACCTTTACTTATGTTCTTTGGGAACAACTTATCTTATAAAAGACTGGGTTTTATGGACATAGATAAATAATTAATGCAATACTAGAGAAATATGTACTTATTTAACACTTTTCCCACATAGCATTTATAAGCAATGAACAGATTTCACAGATTAAGAGAAAATGCATTTAAAAAGCACCACAGATTTTATATGAAAATTGGCTGAACAAACATTTAGCTAAGTACAGCTTCCTAATTTTAAGCAAGGTCATGAATATCCATGGTTTTTATGTCACAATTTCAGTTAGCTGGATCCCTTTCTTCCAAAATAAAACTGTTGTCGGCAATACTGTGAGAATGTTTACTAAAAAAACTCAGTTCTTATCAGAAAAGTCTATTATATTTGCTTTTCCTTTTTCCAATCTTATTATTTAAGAAAAGCTTTTGAACAAACAAAACAGAAAACCTACACTAGTTTGCTGGTTTTCAAAACAACCCTACCTTGGTAAATAGCAGAAGGGTTAGTGCTCTTAAGATTAACAGTATCAATTTTTAAAAGATACTCTACAATTCTACTTAATCCCCTTCAATAAATAAACATGAGCACAAAATTACTGTTGAGTATTGAGGCACATGACAACTTTGTGGTCTCATTAGCATTGCAATGTATATTAATTTACTGCTGAATAAGTGAAGCCACATTAAATCTCTTAAAATACATATACATATGAGCAAATAGATGTGAAGGAGTGCATAAACACAAGCACACACTTAGGTTATTTTTGACATAAATAAAGTCACAGACTAAAAGCAGCTGGGGTCAATCTGCAACCACGTTACTGAACATCTTTAAGAAATTAAAACAACCAAGTTCCCCTCAAAGTGGCTTTATGCTACAATGCCAAAAGAAACTACAAAATCATTCTTTAAAAACTGGCCAAGGCATCAGCTCAGTATTCAACTAATTTATTGGAAGGAAGCCTAAATTCACCAGTCTAATCTTATTTTTGCAGTGTGAGCTCTATTAATGTTTTCCTGGCATAAAGCCTTATTTATTAGGAAATCCACTTCAGATGCTATTATGACATAACTCGAGGGGAAAAAAGTTTACAAGTTAACAATTTTAAATTTATAAACCAAAATTTACACAATAAGGGTGTTGATCTTTTGATGTGCTCTGCAGTGGCCTCAGCTCCTACTGAAGTCAGCGCCTCACAATGGACAAGCAGAATAGAAATAGCTCTGTGTTCTTTTCAAAATAATGTGAAAATTAATTATATTGCCTATACTTACATCAAAGTTATAACCACATTAAATTAGCAACTGGCTTCAATTTACATATTCTATATTCTAAGGGTTAAGCAGCTTTGGAGAAAAGCAAAGCAGCTTTGCAGAAAACGACCCGGGGGGGGGGAAGTCCTGGTAGACGCTGATTTGTCCATGAGCCAATCATCTGCCCTTGCAGCAAAGAGGCGTAAAGGGCATTAAGAAAAGTGTTGCCAGTAGGTGGAGGGAGGTGATCAGCGCTGGTGACACCAAACCTGGAAAACTGTGTCCAATTCTAGGTTCCTCAGTACAAGAGAGACTGACATCCTGGATAGAGTCCCATGAAGGCCACAAAGATGATTAAGGGACTGGAGCACCTCTCATGAGAGGCTGAGAGAGCTGGGACTGTTCAGCCTGAAGAAAAGGCTTAGGGAGATCTCTCCAATGTAAAGAAATACCTGAAGGGAGGGTGCATAAAGGACAGAGCCATGCTCTTTTCAGTGGTGCCCAGTGACAAGACCAGAGGTGGTAGGAACAAACTGAAACACAGCAGGGTCCTGTCTGAACACCAGGAATGAACTTTTTTACCGTAACCGAGCTTTGGCACAGTGGGGTTGTGGAGTCTCCACACTTGGAGAGATTCAGAAGACAGCTTTTGTTATTAACAGTGACATACCTCCTTCCATGCTGAAAATTAAACCATGGGGAGAGCACAGGCGCAGGGGGAGACACAAAGGACATGGCCCTGAGCAACCCATTTTACAGGACCCCTGGTTGAGCAGAAGGGTTGGACCAGGTGACCTCTAGAGCTCCTTTCCAAACTCAACCATCCTGTGATTCTGAACTCTAAAAAAGCCCAACACAGGTGGAAAAAGTACACTGTATTTACCCTGAAACAAATCTGCTTTTGTGTTAATCAGAAATTACTAGCACTGTAGTTATATTTATTACTGAAATGTGACAGACATATATAATCTATAAACAACAAGCATCATTCTTTAAGAGGAAAAGAAAGTGAAAAAAAGGCAATTTCACTAGAGATGGTGAAAATCATGCAGGGGGAAAAAAAGTAGGTTTGGAATGCAAATAGTGTGTATTTTACATGAAGTATCTGCTTCACCCTCATATCCTTTTCTATCTACAAGATGTTTTTCCTTTTTATGAAGTTGCCCAAATACAAAGGAGTAGATTTAGCAAAATTTTAATAATGCAACCAGGTGCATAAAGACAGTGATGGCAAAGGTAACGGAAATTACTTTTGAAACAAGATGCTCTTTGTTCCCATTACAGCACTTAAGATATTTGAAATAGAAATCCTCAAAGACTTTTTTCTTAAGATCATGAAAACACATAAAATGTCAAATTATTATTTCTCCATGTGTAGAAAAATCAAGCATTATTATATATATACCTAGAATGGACAAACGGTTTGTTTCTCTATGCTATGCCATCTGTGGAAGGAAGCATACAGTAATGTAAGATGATTTTATAAAAACTATGTGCAGCACAACCATGAATGCATTTAGTGTTAGTAAAATCCAGAGGTAATAATTTTTTAAAGCAAACTACACCACAGAAGTGCACACACACATTGTACAAAGTCACTGTGTAGCTCTACCTTCTGTTGACAGAGATGTTAACCAGTGCATAAGCTTTGACACTTTCAAAAGTCAATGCTAAAGTTCAAAACCTGTTCCACAGGACAGGACAATTATTGAAGGACTCATGCTGACTAAAATCAAAGGAATACTGTTACTTTAGCTTAATTTTCTTTGGATAAAATATTCCACTCTTCTCCACCAAGAGCTTCTCTCCCATAATATCATTAATCAAATTGCTTTTCCTATGTTATGGGATGGAAATAAAATATGTAATTTATTTTAAAAATATATATTTGATAGTACTACCAGAAACAGCCTTGCAGGAATATGCAGAATATCCTTTTTGGCTATGCCTACGCTAGTACATTCAACAGTGCCAGGGAACGTGTCTCAGCACTCAAAGTTGACTGCCTACACCTTCAAACTGCTGGAACAGCTACCAGTATGGTTTTGGCCCGTGCAAACTAGCACTTTCCCAAACAATTCCTGGGCATGACTTGTGGTCAGAGCAGGCTAGAGACCATTCAATACTGGCAGCCTTAACAAACTACCTTGTTTAGAAGGTTTAAAAGTTTAATAGTATGCATGTGAGTGGCTTTGTGCCAGCTGTTCTCAAGTGTTTTTACAGTCATGTGTAATTTATTAGTATAGACACATACTGTCCAAACTGTGGAGCAATTCTACTTTGCACTGTGCTAGCTTTAGCTATTGTAGCTATCGGAGAGAAAAAACATCCCTTCTTCCTACCCAAAGGAAACTTCAGTTCCATGGGAATGGTGCATACCAAAGTTTACCCTCAATATGCAGCAGCCAGGATCTAGCCTGAACATATCTATTGCAACTCAGGAACTGGGAAGGGCTTCTCATCCCACAGTTTAATACATCTGCTGTGAGATACAGGCCTTTCCAAATCTACTTACAGGTCAGGGAACAGTTACTATCAACAGAATACTGTTGGCATTTAAAGGACTCCTCGGCAGCACAAGAAGTATGACAACTGCTGTTACTCTTACATGTACAGCTGAAAGGTGGATGCTTTGGGTGATGACAGGACAGTGACAGGCAAGGACAAACACTTTCCATTGATCTCAAGCTTCTTAATTCTATGCATCCAAAGAAAACTGTTAGTGTATCTCTGCTGGCATATCCCTTATGTCTTCTCAAACTCCTCCATAACTGACAGTATATTTTCTAAGCTTTCAAAACTGAGGATCTGTATGAGTTGTATCACCTCTTCAGGTGCACTTTTGCAAAACTTCCTTGTAAGAATCACAGAATTGCAGAATGGTTTGGGTCAGAAGGGACCTTAAAGATCATCTAGCTCCAAACCTCCTGCCATAGACAGGGACACCTTTCACTAGACCAGGCTGCTCAAAGCCCCATCCAGTCTGGCCTTGAGCACTGCCACAGATGGGGCACTTTAAGCTGTTACAAGATCCAAACTTGTAGTGATGCAACAGATGTGCAGAAGAAGGCAGTCATGCAAATTCTCAGATCAAATTTAGAGGTTCATCACTGTGCTTAGCAATGGTCTTAACCTCTTATTTTCATGACGGTAGTTACTACAAATTCACAAACACAGGGTATCTTAATTCACTCAATTCCTTTTTATTTATATTTATGTACTTATTAAAGCAGGTAAGTGGACAGAAGGAGCAATACACTGATACTATCCAGCTACTGAATGATGAACTTCTAACACTTAAAGAAGAATTAAAGTTTAAATCAAAATTATAATTTTTGACAACTAGAATTAGACACTGAAAACAAGGAACACTGACAACTACAATTTTCAGAGTAGTTACCCAAAACCCTATTAAAATTACTGTCTATCAGATCATGACAAGATGGTTAAGTATGAAAGCTTTGTTGACAAACAACATAAAACTTGCTTTCCAACTAGCAGTTACTATGTTAAAGCTTAAGTAAAGCCTTCAGCTGTTTTCATTGAGGAGCTACCAAAACCCTCACAACTTCCCTCAAAACTAAAAAAACTATCACCAAATTTAAATGGTTCAGCTACAGGTCTGAGGTACTGTTTTCAATACAATGAGCTAATTGTCACATGAGACATTACAGTAATATGCCAGACAAACAGTAGGATGTGCTTTAGTTCTTCAAGAGAATACTAATGATTAATGTGTCTCTATTAAAGGTAATTTTATGGCTTTTATTTTTAAGACATGTTCTACAAAAACGGCTTCTTAATATATTAAAACAGACACATCCTTAAGCATTCTTATGATGGCACTCTGAAAACAAGCTAAATACTGAATTCCTGTTATAATATTCCAGTGTATCAAAAAGCTTGTATTTTTCACAGACTCTTCATCAACATAACAAACTGAATGACATAACAAACAACTATGACATACAAGAACATAAGGATCTAAACTCAGTAGTCATAACAGTCAATATTTGACTGTATTTAGTTCTGGAACTTAAAACCTCTACACATATATTATCAGCTTTCCTCAGTGAGGAAAAACTATAGGGTAGAATGTGAACAGATTAGTATCCAGGATGATTTCAACTTTATTTTCAGTCACCAGTCTTTTACAGGCCATGGTTTCTCTAAGGTTAGCATTTATGTGTGTACTTCAAAGCATGATATATATAAGCAGACATAATATACACGTAATATAGCTTATTAGTGATTTTAACATCAAAGACAGTTGTCATTTTAGAAGATCAAAGGCTTGATTAAATGGTATGTCAAAATGGCATCATTAGTAGCACCTTCTTAATTATTTAATTTAATACAGGTATTACTTATAATCAACACGTGCACGTATTGATTATATTGATTAATTATGCTGCAATAAAAAACCTCACTGCAATGGTGTGATTATTTAATGCACTGAAAAAATAACTTACTGACCCTGAAGAAGAAATTTTAAGTAAAGGGAACATGTATTAATTACCAAAAATATAATTTAGCAATGCCATCAGGAATATAGGCTTTGTTAAGTATATGAGAACCTCCCCTAACAAGCAACAATATAAATAAAGCCTAATACAGTGCTAGCTCATTGGTCTGATAAAGTCAGACAGGCAACACTAATCATACACTGCAGCAAAGCTTTCATAAACTATTAAACTCTGAGTAACATGGTATTTAGATGAGGTTGATTCTCTTTAAAATTGCTGAACTAGTAGCGCTCAGGTAACGATGACATTATTTCTCAAACTTTTTCCTTTAGCACATGGGAGACACACAGGACACAGCACACTGCTTGTACAGACAATACAAGTGTCACCACCTTACCTGCAGACTGAGCACTGTAAAGGGAAGGATCGCCTAGTGGAATATTCTGAGGAGAAGGCTGAATGGTGTTACTTGTCACTCCTGCAAATCAATATAAAAAATTGGTCTTGGTTTATTTTTATTTATAGACTTTAAAAGTAAGCAGGCATAATATGAAAACAGAAAACGTAAAGCTAATTACTCAATGGTTTTTAAATTAAGCAACTGATAGCTTCCCAATCCTGAAAATTCATAGAATCACACAATGGTTTGGGTTAGAAGGGACCTTAAAGATCATCTAGTTCCAACTCCCTGCCATGGGCACGGATACCTTCCACTCTTAAAGCTGCTTAGAGCTCCATCCAACCTGGCCTTGAACTCTTCCAGGGATGGGGCAGCCACAACTTCTCTGGGCAAACTGTGACAGTGCCTCACCAACCTCCCAAGAAAGATTTTTCTACCCTAATTCTACCCTTTTCAGCTTAAAATCATTTCTCCTTTCCTGTCACTACATACTCTTCTAAAACATAATTTTAAAACCTCATTTCAGACTGTTTTATAAATTAATACAGAAGTATTTATAAGCTGTCACTGATTCTATCAGTACAGTTTCTCACAGAATTTTAATTAAAAAAACAGGAAAAGCCTAGTCCAAAAGATACTTGTTATCCTAGAGTAGTAAGGAAGACCTGCTAGATAAGAGTAGGAGTAAGCTTTTATATTTGAACTTTAAATTCTGCCTTTTAATATCAGATCCTCCATTATTTTAAAGTATCATGCCTGCCATCTCACACTTAAAACTGTCTCCTTCCTAATTCCTTCAAAAACAATTGGTAAGAGTCAAAAAGCCAGCCATACGTAAAAGAGAAATGGTGATGCTAGAATAAGAAACAGCACTTTATGTTGGGAAGCATTCCTGTATTTGCATCCACATTTCAGATACTCTCATTTGCGCTGATCCAAACGTACATTTTTGCAGTATGTTCAGAACAAACAAGACTAATATAATTTCTTTCTACAATATATGCTTTGTAGGAAGATGGTTTAGCCACACTATCTGTTATTTCATGGAATGACTGATAGAGTTAAAACTATGCAATGTAAAGAATTCATATATTCCAACACGGTATCTATTCCATAATTTTCAGATGTGGTAAAAACGAAGAGCTAAACATTTACCTAGGCTGACTGTAAAAAACAACACTCTCCCAATCCCAGACCCAAACAACCCCAGCTATCTGAAGGATTTCCCTTTGATAAAGCTGAAAAGAGTGAGCATGCTGAACTTTTTGAAGGGGGAAGCATTTTTAAAATGAGAAAGTAAAAGAAAAGAAAGGGCTGTGTTACAAAAACATCTCATATTTTCTATAATATAAAAATGTATCTGAAAAATTAAATGATCATCAAGACTGAAATCAAGAGCTTTTAATGTTTTTAGTCTTATGAAACATCATTATAAAAAAGGTAACATGAGGTGAAAAAATTATATTCACAAACAATTTAATACAACTTTTTCCTGTTTTTTTGTTTTTGTTTTTTTTTTAAACAGCAACTTGTGAGGAACCTTGGATTTTTAAGGACTTTGTTTTGGTCCAAAAAATGACACAGAATAGGAAGGACATAGGAGCCAGTATGTTTAACAACAGGGATAAAATTTCCATTAATTATATTTTTTGAAGTCAATCACACTGAAACAGTTGCATGGGAAAAAGAGCATTAACCAAATAGAAAAAAGCATGAATGGTGCATCAGGCATGTACCATTAGAGCATTGCTGTAACAGTTTCAACATTATGTTGGATACATTCCCACAAAGAACAGCAGTTTATCTGCACAGGGAAAGCTAAATATGAAACATGAAATTTCATCTATCAAGTGAAAGACTCAAATACTGCTTTACAGTATAGATGTTGCAATGCATTATTCTATAGAAGAAAAAACCATTCTGTCTGCAAGAACACTCATTCGTTCAGTTCATACACCTCTTCTGGCAAAGTGCTCCAAAATACGAATTAAATATTTTAAAAAACAGAAAAACATAAAAAATATTCCCAATGGCATTTTCACAATGTTAATTTATAAAGTTACCTCTGCTATAGAACAACTGTATTATTTTACTTAATATGTAATGAAAAGAGGGCTAGAATTTGCCTCTCAATAACGGCATGGATTTTTGGGTGTGATTTAGACATACCTGTGTTATGAGGTACTTCAGCTGGAGTGTTGGCTGGTGCATGGGCACCTGGTGGTATATGTACGCCAGTGTAATTACTAGTTGCTTTGTTGTTGCCTTCATATGTAGATGACGATGTTGGTTGAGTTGTTCCACTATGGAGAGAAGATGACTCTGCTTCTTCCTTTTCAACATCTGCCAAGATGACACAAAACAGGAATTACTATATACAAACACTTGTAAATTTAGGCTTCTTTTTAAAGCCTCCTTTCAAATTTTTTTTAGTAGAAAAATTGCTACCGCAATGTTATATAAAACATTTATCAACCCAAACCACCTACAGTTGATTTGAGAAAGTAAAAAAGCAACATACCATAGGATAGAGATCTAGGAACTCACATACTTTCAAAGCTCTCTTCTGTTTAAATTGAAGGATCATCTCATTACTGGTCTGAGTAAGCAATCTGTCTCTTTAGGACAATCCCTTATACTTCCATGTACTGCATCCACAGTAGTTGAACAAGATACTACAAATATGCAGTAACCTATACTTTAATATATACATGAACCAGAATATGGAAAACTGTATTTGCCTTACAAACTCTTTGTAAAAAGAAAGACAGTGCCAATCCTTCTAGTCCATATCAATTAAACAAACCACAAAGAAATAACAAAAAAAGGAACTTTGGGAAAGTAATACTGAACAAGAAAACTAAATGCAGCTTAGCCAAGTCATAACTGTAGCTGAACAGTTAGAGTACATAATGCACTATAAAAATAATGAGGTTCACAATATCCCATAGAGTGTGCAAAGAACATAGGTGTTATTTTTCTATCTAGTTACATTCTTAAGGTTCTGCTCTAGATAATTCAATGCAGTTTTGAAGACTAATTGTCCAATTTTAGTATGCTAACAATCACGTTAATTTAGAATACGGCTGATTTCTGCTCCTTAATTTGAATTTATCTCTGTTTTTAAAAGTTACTTTTCTTTGACTATGTAAGTACCCATCTATGCCAATAATATCAGGTGAAACAAACAGTTTCAGGAATGGCGTTGTTAACATCCAGTTCTTGAAAGGGAGCAAAATGAATATAGGAGCACAAAACTTGTATTCTGTCTAGATCTGACAAAAGATGTTGTTTATGAAATCCACACTGATCTTCAACTATACAAGATGATGTGCTATGCAAACACCTCTACTACTTAATAACAAAACAGCTTACTATCAACAATATTACTAATACAAATGTATTGATTTTTTTTTAAATTGATATTTATTTTTTTCTTTGTAAGGTCCTATTCCTCCCAGAAGTAGTTAAGGTACTAGCTTTACAAAATACTACTAATTCGTAGTATTATTTACTACAATTAAAGGCTATAATGCAGAGTAAAATCAACAGTATTGTCATTAGGACATATTTACTGGACTTTAGAAAATGCACAGTTAAAGATTATATTTTTATTTTATATTGCAAAGCTGTATTAATTTACTTTAATTCAGAATATCTACATACTAATACACAAATCCCTCAAATCCACAGTTTAATACCAAGAATCTTTATTTAAAAGTATTAAAAAGCAAAGAAACCTAGAAGTGAAATTCCGCCAGGCATGTCAAGCACTGCTAGCAAAATTTAATATAAAAACACAAAACATAGTTGGTTTTGTATGTTACTGTTGTGAATACTACTCTGACTTGCTGCAACCAATAATTCAGGCTGTAGTTTTATATGAAGCTACCTCTGACATATGCAAACAAACATATGGCAGATTTCTGGAAGGCAAAGGATAGTTTAAAGTGCCAGGTTTTTTCCTTTGCTGTATTTTTTGCTAGTGAGTCATACTGCAATATCATGTGGCTAACATGCATGGAAGTAAAACCGAATGTGTTAAAACTGGCAAGAAAAGAGTGAGATTCAAAAGCAAACACAGGATACATGTCCTTCTAAATAACAGCATAATGATAGTAATAAGCACTGGTTAAAGGCTGTATTTTTAAGTGGGTTTGGTGCTAGCAAAAAAAAAAAATTTTCAGAAAATCGAATTTAGTTTAACAAAAATCCAGACCACATTTGTGCTGTCTGAAAGCTGCCCAAGCTTACTTGTAACACTGTTATCAATTACTTATATCTTGGTCAAACCGTAGCCAAAAAAATTGGATTTTCCATGTTGGGCATCTGCTTGAAGCTACTATGTGGAAAAAGCTGTTGTAACAATTATTAAACTGTTTTTGAGAATGAAGGAGTGGGAGAAACCATGCTTTCATTGTACTAATGACCTCAACTAAGAGAAATTACCTATAAATTCATGCCCAGACTGAAACCATTAATGCATTTACTTATTTATATTGCCTCCTGCAGCTTCCTGTTGCCCTTATCTGGCTCTTCAGTCCCATTCTGATTTCCCTCTCTCTGCACCAGGACTTCATATCCTGTATCTGAAAACTCTTCCCCCATACTTCTGTCTTTCACTACCTCCCAATCTCGTCTTTCAAGACATTTCCAGTTTCAGCTCCAAATGTTCTCACTGCATAGAGTTCATGGTCTCAAGTCACTCCTGCATAAGCGCAATGCTGTATGCAACACTGGCCATGGAAGATATGAACTCAAATGGTTAAAGCCTGGCAATGTCATAAAAAAAAAAACCCAACCAAAAAAAAAGCGTTGTAAGTGCTGACCACCCTTAATAACAGTGCTTGTAAGAGGCAAATTCACAGAAGGGTGATATACTTTTTAATCAGACATATGCATCAAAAGACCAAGCTCAACTGTTTGATTTGCTCATTATGCAATTGGTAAATGTTAGGTCGTATTAAACTTAAAAGTAGCTTTGTTTAAATTAACTTTTCTTGGGTGTTTAAAGTGCTCAAATGTCATCAAAGCATTGTAAGTATTCTTTCTGCAAAGTAAATATTTAAAATATTCTTTATCAAAGATTAAAGTATCAGAATAATTTTGAGATACGTGCTTGCAGTATTTGTGAAGAGTTTTTTAACAGTCGTGCTAAATAGAAGTATTTCAGACTGCTAGAAAAGAACGCATGTCAACAGACCGGTTTTAAGTTCTGTGGTTAGAACATCCATTACGTTCTTGAAAAACAGATTTTTTTTTTACAGGGAATGGGAACGAACACCAGAAAAATTAGGAGAACTAATTTCTCATAAAGCAGCAATAACCTAGAATTTACAGTTCCTTGCAATTTTCCTAAGGATGCTGAATACCAGGCTGTGAAACAGTGACATAATTGTTTCACATTCAGTTTCAGCTCCAGCTGAGTTTCTTGTCTTGGAACCTCATCAGCCTTTGTGCTTGCATTCCAGCATAATGAATCCATGCACTCTTCAGATTTTTCCTCAGAGCTGCAGTATACCCAGACTATCTGTTTCTTTGGGTTTCAAATTTTTTTAATTTATTTATTGAAGGCAAGACTTCATGGAATAAAGCCAACACCCCTGTCCCCATAACCAACTGCCCAAATATACTTTCATATAAATAAGAGGATTCTCAAAGCTTAATGGCATTTTCTTGTCTAGTTTAAGGAAGCACTGATTATGCCTTAAATTCAGCAGGGCAGAGCACTAAATTTAAAACCAGAGCCCTCCAGTTCTCTGGACACCTATTTTTAAGGAGTCCAGAGACTTATAAAAGTAATCAACTAATTTTAATTTAAAAATATTCTTTCGCATTCTTCTGAACTGCTTCACTTTAGCTTGAGATGTTCCTAAAAGATTTACAACTTAAGGTTTTATTGAAACACTGCTTTATAAAAAAAAAAATAAAATATATATATATGTGTATCTTTTTCCACAACATGGAGTAATGGACTAAAAAAATCCACCAATCTTTCATACACTGTTCTTTCTACTAGTTGGGACAAAAGAGGTTTCCTAGAATTCTGTAATATAAATTTAAAATATGTATTATATATTGCAACGTAAGTGGTGACATTTAACATATTTTACTGCGGCTATACCGTAACCATTTAGGAACTTATTAATATTTGAAATTGTCTTTTTTCTTTTCCATTAGTAAAAAGTCTTGTTGAATGACCCAGGGCTAATGCTAAGTGAACTTTATGTGTACTCTAGAACTTGTATTCCAACTGCATTAATAAATCAAGCATGTAATTTTAAGGTTTCCATCCTGACAAAAGCTTCCATAAATTCAACAGCAGAGCTGCATAAAGCATGCCTATGTTACTGTAAAAACATCTCCAAGAGTTACAGTATGGTTTTCAAGAATCACAAAGAAAATAACACTTTGGAAAAAAACGGTAATTTGTCAAGCTACAGTGACCAAATTTCACACTGTTTAAACAGACTTTTTCCACTTGGAAGGGGAGGAAGAAAATGAGCAAGCAGAAAGGAATGGGGAAGGTCCAGTCATATATTTGAACAATGCTGCTTTTCTTCTCATGATGCACAAAGACAGAACTGACACATTTTTTTACTGATTCTTCTATTAGAAATAATTTGCATAAAATTTTTGTCTTGGTTGTGTAAAGCATTATGGAAACCTACCCTAAAGAGTTAATTTCCAAAAATAAGTGTGGAAACCACTCATTTAATTCTTTGGAAAACAGAAGTGTTGTTTCTTACTACATGAAATACAATTAAAAAAAAAAAAAAGATATTGCCAAATTACAGATATTGCAGGCTCCCTATCAACAAGGATGATTAAATTTTGGATCACTCAGCATTTGTGTCCCTTTCAAACTGCATGAAGGCACAACTTGGTAATGAAAACAAGGTCTTCACCAATTCATGCTACTGCTTGTAATGACCTGCAATGAATAGTAAGGATTTGAGTGAAGTCTGAAATCCACTTTTCCTCCTATAACAGTTTCTTTTGCAGCCTTGAACAAGTCAGTTACCTTTACCTCCACTTAAAGAAAATGAAGAAAGCTTACTTTCACATGATCAGGTGAGCTTTGTAAATAACCACACTATGACAGAGACCACTAAAGAGGACTCACTTAAAGCTAGAAATATTTAATTGGGTTATTCATTACATTCACTATAACAATAGATTTTTTCCTGCATGTTGTCTTTTCCGTTAAATCATTAGACTAGTGTTAATTAGATTTATAAAGATGTGACAATGTTTGCAAGTGGAGTTGCACTGTAAATCTCTCTTGCTACAGGTGCACCAGCAGTTAAGAAAATTGCCTTGAAAGAGATTGTATGTTGAAGAAGAAACTAGTTTGCCAATGCTTCACTTCATAAAACTCTACAAGGTGTCTCTGTTAGATACAAGCCAAACTCTACAAGTTAGATTTCTCTCTTCTGCACTGCAGATTCTTTTTATTTGAAGAAACTGTATTATTATTAAAAAAAAAAGTATTATTAAATTCAAGCCTGAGTAAAGATATAAGCAAGCATCAACTTAAGGGATACTTAAGTGATGGCTTGACAATTCAAGCCATTCAAGCCATACTAGCTCAGAGGAAAATTTCAAATCATTTAATGTTCTTAGTTGTTTCATTAGGTATGTGAAGAATTACATGTAAAGGTTATTGTCTTTGTGCTGAATTGGTCAGTTTCAATTCGAGTAAGGAAAGCATCCATTCCAAAGACATCTTATTTCCGTAAAAGATTCACATGTAAATTTTTATTTTAAGCTTCTGCACTGACTGGGGAGGAAAATGAAGAGACACCTTATTTATGAAACTGATTACAATGAAAAGGAACTGTGAAATGCAAAATAAATGAAACATAAAGCATTAAGAACAGAAAAACTTCATACAACAGAAAAGTAAATGGGTGAAAATATTCTGAAAGTTAATTTAACAATTACATACCATTATGATTTTGATATATTTCAGAAATTAGTATTTTTTGCCTACATTTTGTTTTTATCAATAACTGAAAAGCATGATCAGTTTATACAAAAAAAAAATCATATTGTTACCTGTTTTAGTCAGCAGTTTAACAGAAAAAGTTTTGTATGTGATTTCATTTGACTATACAAAAATTTGACATATATGAAGTCTGTGATTCTATACTTTGGAAGGAGAGTAAAATTTGTAAGGATTAGAAATAATATGGTAGATCTGGATTGATTATTTTTAGTAAAACGACACATAATCAAAGAAGAGAACAGAGCTGTCTTTCTCAAAATAGGTTAGGATGTGATCTATGTGCTCTTGTAGGAGAGAGTCTACTTAGTATGTGTTCTGTTAATTCATGGAGAGGGTAGCTTGCGTCTGCTCACAGTGGTGGTGTCTTTTTTTTTAAAAGCACTAAATGTGAAAGGTTTGGATGCCCCTAAAGTTTTTTACTGAAGAGCTAAGACTTTTATAGTAGCAGCAAAATTTAGACAGGTCTGAGCACACTAAATAGAAGACAGTAAAAGTCACAATTTGGAAGGCTTAAAAATAATTGTTATTGGTAAGTGGCTGTCCTTGGAAATTACCATGTTTTATTTAACAGTTAAGGATGTAACTTCAAGGAATCCTGCATAGGAAAGTCAGGTAGCCAGACAAGCAATAACTAAAAACATGAGGAAAAGGGGGATGAGTGAGAAAGTGGTAAGACATCCAATCTAAACAGAGTAGGCCATAAACCTACTGAAAACCACATTTTATATAGTGAGGAAGGGGTTGTCTCACTATGAGGTGTTTGCTTTGAATTGAATTCATCTACAATCGATCAATTTTCAACTCCTATTTAACTTCTGAGAAAGGATAAACTGGTAAAGGCATTGTAACTATGCAAGAACATTTAAAAGAAGGACTGTGGGTAGCATTAAAGAAATGTATGGTTCTGGCCCAAAGGTGGCAATGCCTTCTTAGAGTAGCTATATTCAAAATAATAATCTCCACTACAGAGGTACAAAAAAAAAAAAAAGTAAATCAAACAGTAATGTCCAATAAAAATAACAGCAAGAGGAGCATAAAGAAAAAGCAGAATGCTTCCTGTAGAGTGCTCCCTAAAGAACTGTCCATACCAGCGCTTCAAGTCTTGGCCCAGCTATCCACTCTTTTAAAAAGAAAAGTGAAACACATACCAAAGCTCTCCCCTTCCATTCCAATAGGCCCAGGCTGAGGAGTCTCTCCGTTCTTCAAGCAGTTATGAATGTATGCTGCCTTCCACCTAGCATACTTCCTGTGCTGGGCGTTCTGGGGAAAGAAAAAAGGCCAGCCATTTTAATCACTCACTTCTGAAAATTAATGCATTCATAACAGAAATACAAGTAGGCCTTCCACCCTGAGAAGAGATTATAAAACTAAACTGCTTTCTCTGCTATCACTTGACACCCCTTTAAAAATAAACATGTGCGAAATTAATTGGTGAATTAAAAAGAAAAAATATAAAAAGAACAGCTCTCTCAGCATGCAACTAAAATGCGGAGATATTTAATGAGTGCAGCACGTCAGAAAAAGGAAATAAATTACACCAGGACCATCTAGTGTGAAAGGTGGAGCACTGTGTTGCAATTACTGATATAAAATAATAAGGAAAACTTCCTATCTCCATAAACTTACATGATTATTACCTTTAGATTTAAATATTTGAAACTTAAAATGCTACTCCTGCTGACCAGTAATACAGTCTAATTACATTATCTTAGATTTTAAAAATGTATTTAAAAGCATGAATACAGAAAAGCTGCTGCAGTTGCAGATTAATGTGGTGTGTGTGGTATTATAGGACATGCAATATTTTGATTTAGTATCTTCAAAACATGGCTAAAAATCAGATGAAGGACTTTAGCAATACATAAACTACTACACAGAGCAAGGGGTATGATAATAACAGCTTTAATAAACTGTTAATGTCACATTTAATAGTTCAGTTATTAGAAAAAATATTCATACCTATAAAAATTGATTATATACTGTTGGTCAATACAATTTTTTGCCAACTCATCTTCTGAAATAGCACTGCATTTGTTTCATACTGACACTTTAAAATTGGAAAAAAAGTGGTAGTAACTTCAGTACTTGAAGAAAATCAACATGATTTTTCACTATTTTCAGTTTATGGGAAAAATTATGAAGGAAAAGCATTTTTCACCTGGGTTTTCATAAATTCTTCTTTTCACAAAACATGAGTGATTGAAATAAATGCCAAGAGTCTCAACTATTTTGAGATTTTCCATTTTTTTTTTAAATATACTTTACTGTTCTCGGGTACAACCTTAATATGTCAAAACATCAAATGATTGTTCACTTTTTATCTCCTGGTACTGTTAGAATAGTATCCAGGAAGAGTTCTCAACTGTTACAAGAAATCTTAAACTGATTATGCAAATAAAATACTTTGTCAAAAGTTGTAACAGACATAACCAGCTCTGCCAGTTACAAGCTAATACATTTCAAGGAACAAGGCTGAATATAAACACAGATGAGACACGTGGAAGGATGAGTAATTTGGCCAAGTGAACAGCGCAGGTTGGTAGCAAGTTTCACATCAACTTCATCACCTGTAAGGTACTGGTGAACTGAAATTTCCACATAACACCCAAGCACGTAAGAAGAAAAATATCTGTAGATTACCTGCGTGGATTCAGACACTGTAAGACATAATCAGCACTTACACGATCAGCACTTGCCGATTTTGTCTTAGATTGTTTACTGTCATTGCTGTATCTCATTTATTTTTCCAGGTATTTCAACCTTCTTTTAACAAGAAGCAGTAGCTTTCTCTATTTTTTTTTAATTTGCTGTAAGTTACTGACTATATTATGATATTTTCAAATTGAGCTTCTCAGTTAATTTAGCATTTTCAATTTTCAAAACAAGGAGTACTTTATTAAAAGTATGTGCTCCTCTCTATTGGAGATTAATTCTTCTATTGGGCATGAGTAACAGAGAGCAGTTAACTACACATCTAACAGAAAATTTTGGTTTAAAATAGGCCAAGAGATTATTCTGGTGAACTTAATAAAAGTGTTCCAATTCTGGAATATTTGTTTGAGTGAAAGACTACCTACCATGAAGAGCACTGGGTTAGTTACTTTAGTAGATTTTTTTTTCAACTAAAACATTCATGTGTTAATGGCCAGATAGCAAGACATTATTTTATGAAATAAATCTACATTCTTCAAACTTAACATATCACCTTTTAAAAGCAGTGTTTGTTTCAATGGCAAAATATCTATTCTAACTAAAACTGTACATGATTCTACCTCAGTTATTAGCACTAAAGTTCTTGCTTGAGGGAGAAAAAAGGTCGAAAAAGCCAGGAACCTTTCATCTTTTTCCCTATAATAATTTCTACTTGCTCAATGTAATATATGCATCCCACCGTAATCATCACAATTTGAATTTCTAACTGGCACCTAAGTCATGAAGCATCTTCCAACAGATAATGGTGTCTAATATTTCATATGTAATTTCTTCAAAATACTTAGCACAATTACAATGACTAACACATATCTGACAATATAATTAGAAGTTATATTCTTTGAAGTTTATATTCACAAATTATAAAAACAACTGTAAGGAACGAACCAAGTAATTTGCACCTGTTAGGAAAGGCAATCAGATAATACATTGACATCCCCACCACTTACCTCTTCAGAGAGCTCCCCAAATACTGTTAGAACATCTATCAGGAGACTTGCAGTATAAAAGGACTTTATCATGTTTCTGGAAAAATTAAAACATTTCACTAACTTGGTAATGTCAGTCTCTCAGGATCACATTTTTAGAAGCTGTATTTTAGACCAAACTGGCTTATTTCAAACCAGACATCACTAATTTTACTCTTTTTTTATTCTGATGTTACAGAACTTACTTCACAATGTTTAAATTTAGCAATGCATTGACTAGTCTCCTGGCTGCTGTAGTAACTGCTGTAAATCAAACCACATAATGTATCATCAAAACTATTCTAATATCAGAGGACAGAAGAAACATTCTATGATTCTGTAACATGCTTGATGTTAAGCTCCCGGTTAGCCTGGGGTTTTTAAAGGCTTGCCAGTAGGTGAGCAACCACTTACAGAAGACAAGAATGAGGATGCTAGTTAATGTATGAAGTTAGAGACATACCAGTAGTAACAAATTTAGTTTTCTGAAAGATATAAATTAATGCATTAAAGCCCAATTCTTGTTTCGAGTGAAATTAAAGAGTGTGGATATTCAAATTTCCTGACCGGTATCTTAATTCAGACAACAAAACCAAAGATTTTCACCTACTTATGAAATTGCCCAGCTCTGTCTTCATTGTCTGCATACAAAAACATTTTCAAGGCATAATTCTCCACATGAGCAGAACCAACAATGTCCTGAGTAATTGCTTCATTATCACCAAATTGCTTTTTCATCTTAAGAACATTGAAAAAAAGACAGTTACGTTATTAGATCCTAGCAATTCTGCAACAGAATTCAAGTACAAGAAGCTGCTGATTTAAACAAAGCGAAGTACAGTTTAAAAAAGAAAAAGCATACACTTCAATTATTTATTTTAGCTCTGAATACTTAAAAAAATTCCAAACACCAAAAAAAACCCCACCAAAAAAACCAAAACAACACAAAATACTTCAAACCAAAACTCAAACCTTTAAAATAAACACAACTACAATACTGTGAAGGAATAGCTACAGATATTTTTGCCTTTATTATTAAAAAAAACACAAAAAACAAGCACTCTGAAGCCTGTATCAGGATTCCACACAGTTCAACTGATACAGTAAGGCATGCTTTATAAACATACTGTAGGTCAGAGCGACCATCTGTCTTCCCTCTTGTAAGGCATTTCACTGCAGTTCATTACATTTTTCTAAGTCTAAGCCCTACCTTGAGCAGACTAGTGACCTACAGATTTACCAGAATTTTCAGTGTAAGCAGTGCACTGTAGTGCAAAGACCTCTTTTCAAAGACGTTACAAGGATACTCAGGTTTCCCAATAAAAATCAGTAAAGCAAATAACCCTGTAACACAACAGGTGGATTTACAGCTTCTGAATAGGCCTACTGTTTCTGTATAAGGAAATCTCAGGTTATCCTTACAGAACAAAAACAGGAACACTGCATGATACTAACCTGCAGCCTTTATTTTGCTGAGATATTTAAACACAATCCCTGAATGGCAGTTCTTTCTCACTGTGCATGTGAAGAATATTTAATCATGCAAGCTGCATTTCCATATTTTTCAGATTGCTGCCAACTTTTTAAAACACAGAATGTTGCCAGAAAAGTTATTTGATTTCAGTAGTGAAATAGAAACTTTCCAAATACAACTTCAAATTTGAAGAGTTTTGTCAAACTCATGCTCCACGTATTTTTCAAAATATATTTGTTTTACAAAGTGTAATTGTTTTCCTTGCGAGTGTACCACAATTTGTAAGTTGCAAGATATATAACTGAAATGAAGCACTACATTAAATTGAGTAAGAAGATTATTTTTGTGTGTGTATATATACATTTCACCAGCCTATATATACACCTTACACTTAGAAAATAACCTCATACTGTTCTTGATCTGATGTTCAATGGACATGATTTCAAATGCTCAAATGAGTGTTACATATACTTCTAAAAATATTGATGTTAACAAAGTTGTTTACTTTTGAAATTACCCTTCACACAATCTATGCATCAGTACAGCAATGCTGAGTTTTTAAATGATGGTTGATAATTTGAACCTAAAAATCAAGCACATTTGCTTTAGTTTTACCACAAACATTTAAGTGAAATAGTTATCTACTGGAAAAGCAAAACAACACAATTATACATACAAGTATTTCTGACAGAAACATACATTTGGGACACAAAATCACTCTCATCTATTTGGAATATTATTAAGCTTCTTGCTAAGAACACATCTGGTTATCTTCCAGATATATCTGCACTGTTTTATTCTTGACAACAATGATGTTTAGTATTGTTTGTAAACTTCTCTCTTAACATCTAAATCAACTGCAGCAACACACAGAAAGCTGTGAGGCACATTTTGGGCAGAACTACAGCACACCTTTGTGCCCCTGCTGGTTAAGGGCAGACTGAAAATGGCTGCTTTTCCTGCAGGTGTCCAACCTGTCAGTATACCCAAGCTTCCTAGCTCCCAAAATTCTGTATTATATCTGCTTAGAAGTGCTCTCTCCATCCTTCAACCACTTGGGTACATAGAAGGAACTTCAGTACCTAAGCATCAGTTGTCACACAGCCAATTTTACCAGCAACTGAAAGGTGAAACCATATGGTTTTGCTGCTTTTCTAGTCTTTCAAAAATTGAAGCAAAGAGAACATTGTAGACAGACCAGTTGCTGAAGTACCACAATGGATCAAATAGATTTTAACAATCCTAAGGAAATGAAGAGCAAAATCTTCTGGAGTTTTAATCTCACCTCTCTTCCCCTTTGAACATGAAAATCAGATTCATTAAAGATGTCAAAAATTGATGAAATAACACAACGCGGAGTCACTGTACACTGGATTTTCCACTACTCCGATTTTCAAATCATAGTTAAAACATAGCAAGAGGTACAAGGTATGAAAAAAGACAAATGGGTCACTCTGATTTTCAAATCATAGTTAAAACATAGCAAGAAGTACAAGGTACGAAAAAAAGACAAATGGTTCACATTTTGGGGTGTTTTCACGAAGAATTGAAGGCTATTGCACCAGTTTCACACAAACTCTTCAGGCATGCTCTAACTAGATTTTGGATGGAATCTTAATACTGAATACAAAAAGAACTGCTGCTTCATTTTTCAACATTACTTTCTGCTTGCAAATGAGCACTTAAACCTTCAAGGCTACTGAAAACTACAGTATGTGAACATAAACAGCTCCTGGAACTTCCACTGACCATCTGTACAATGCCTTTACCTTTCTTTAACTCTGTTCTGTTTCAGGTTGTTTGCTTTTAATACTATCAAGTCCACTCAAAAGAGCATGACATCGCTATCTCTTACCCACACAGATAAGACTGTGCTTACAAAAAAGCATAGCATAAGGTCCCCAATCTCTAACAAGAGAACTTTATGTAACTTCAAAAGTATCTTTATCTTTTAGAAAATGTTAAAAAAAAACCCAAAACCAACAACAAACAAAAAACCCAAACAAAACCTAAAACTCAAACCCCAGTCCTTGTGTACAACAGTTCAGGTCAAAAAATTTTAATAGCACCCAAAGACTAGGCTAGCCTGAAGTCTTCTAGAATACTGGTATTTATTTTGTAATGAATTATTATTTCCCAGGAGAATATGTATGAATAAAGTATCATGGCAAATGTCTGCTATATAAAAATCTGTTATGTTTGTGCATGCATATGTACATATAAACATGCGTATAGTTTTATCTCCTTTCAATCCTTCTGCCAATTTATTATACACAGAATGCCTGCATAGAGAATAGCTGCATAAATGACTGATGAAAGAGAAAAGATAGTATTTGCAGAAGCTTACATAAAAATGAAAGTAACACTGTGAACCATTTTAGAGGAAAGCAATAAATTGTACTTACAGCTTCCAACTGGTCCATAAGTTTGGATAAAAATTTACGGCATTCTGGGGTTTTACTATCAATCTTCATCCCTGTTTGCATTGCATACAAACGACCTTTAAAGGAGAGAAAATACACAAAAATCCAGAAGTGATTATCTAAGGCAAAACCCACAGGCAAACAAAGCAATGCTTCCCACAACAAATCTGAAAGACAAAATCATCTTGTGTTTTAACACAAGTACTATTGCACTACTAGTGAGCAATGACAGTGAAATCTAGATATATTCAGTCTTGCAGAGATACTGAGAGATATTTTTCTAAGATTCATGCTTTATTTTTCTTGATGAGTACTCCTGATTTCAAATTGATGCTTGTATCACTATTATGCAATATTAAGTGCTTTTGTAAATAATCACCACCCTTGTTTGCAACTCTCAAATGGGAACTTCAAGTCAATTTTTATCCCTAATTATACATGAGTAATTTTTTTATTACTTACATACATGCGTAGAGTGTATGAATATATCTCAAAAATGGAACTCCATGTAGCAAGAACCAGTCAGCAGTAACTCCATTTATTAAATGGAGTTAAGCATCTATTATTTCATTTATATGTATATATAGCATCAAAAGACACAAGACACAAACCGGATCTTTAAATCAGACAAGACAGATTTTACTAAACTTTCCTAGCAAATAAAGTCGCCATTTTTTTACATGATCCTGAAAATTAATGATTAACAATGATTAGTAACTTCTAATTAAAGTTACCTTTTTACTACCAAAAATCTATGAATTTTAGATAGGCTCATGGCAGAATTTTATATGCTTCAGAAAACAGTGGATAAAATCAAATAATTATATACTAGGATTAACATACAGAGAAAGGAAAACGGAACAAAAGCATTCAGTAACCAAATACAGGACATTTTTCACAAGAAAGTCATTTTACTAACTGTCACTTCTGACCCTTGAGGGAGTCCTACAAAACACTTCCAAATGCAGAGCTTAAGAACTGTAAGATGCAACTCTACCAAATATTATCATGGGGTGGTTATCATGGCATATCACAGTGTCCTTCTCCCTGGAGGATGCAGAGGTCTGCAAGTGATTCTTACTTGCTTTGCAGCTTTAGCATTTCTTTCCTTACAAGCCTCAATTCATACACTAGAGATAGTCTTTTCCCTTCAAATTATCTCAGTAAACAAGAATATATAACACAGTTGCTTTCAAACTGCTCTTATGCTGATGTCTGCTGCAGAAGGCAGCATTATATGCCCACAAGCTGCCCTTTCCATCTATTATCAGTTTGTCTAATAAAATTAGATCGCTTGATACAAAACTTAACCCAGGTTCTGCTGGTGAGTGTGATAACTCATTTCTCTGGATTTTAAAATTAGTATTTCATGTCCCATATACACTGATTATTCAAAACAGACAAAAGTGTACATTCCTTATTTGAGAGTGCAAAGCTGACAAATTTTTGAATGTTAAAACTGTTGGGTTGCCCAATCATTTAAATACTCCCTAAAATAATAAAAAACGTACTTGTGCCCTTCAACACTTCTCTACTTCCACGTTTACAATTTACTAAACAACCTAGCACCTTTATATTCAAGTTTTCAGTAAAGAACAACCAAGTAAAAGTCAACTCTGAGTGAAACTTCAGGAATGATAAAAGATAGGGCCAACTATAAGTGACCATGACAGGTGAAAGACAATAATTTTATCAAGAAAATGCTATGTAGATTCCATGCTATGTAGGTTTCATGAAGTGACAGCACTAATATTAAGCTAACTACTGGTAGGTACTCTTAAACCCACACCTTATTTATCTTCAGGATGCTGACACATTAATATTAAAAATTATGAAACCAGCACATGCGAAGTTTAAAATACATTTCAAAGAAGTCCAAACACAGAAAGATAAAGATTTGTGTCTAAGGCACTATAATTTAAGTCTACTGTCAATTAAAATATCATCATCATATGATGAGGCGTCAATGCTTATAGTCTTAAGCTGATTTTTAAGTACATACTTGACTGTAACATCCCTGAACACATTTCATGGTATGATTTAATAAAGTAAAATTTATGAATTAACATAATGGATGCTAGGCCTATGGGCCATCTAAATCAGTTACTTCGTTAGACAGATGCAAATATCACATATTTCTTAGAGGAAAGTAAATCAATTTTAGACTGTTAGAATGACAAATTCAGAATACCCTTGGTCGTTACTGGATATAGATTTACCTTACTTGCTGAAGTATGCATCTTCATATCTCTTCCACAATTAATTTAAATAAAGAGAACCCTGTTTCCATATAAACAGGAATCTTTCAAATGTTTAATCATTAAAAAATCTGCTTATTTATAACTTATTCTTGTGTTATTCTGGTTCTGGGGTTATTTTGGTGTTTTGTTTTTTTTTTTTTTACATTCATTTCAAATATATTCATTTAAATAGTGAAAGCAAAATAAGTTTTTTCCACAATAATATCCAAAGGGGTGTATTTACAGAACTGTTACATCTCTATGCTTTGTAGGCAGCCCCACAATGCCAGTCCTTTCCCTTCTGAGGATTTCAGAGACTGAGAAACTCAGGTTTAGTGGTGGACTTAGCAGTCCTGGGGTAAAGGTTGGACTTGATGATCTTAAAGGTCTTTTCCAACCTGGTTGCTTCTATGAGTCTATGACCCCTTCAAACACTCCAAAGGTAAGGCATAAGCTCTTCTTTCATTCTCAAATAGGTGGTGATTAAGAAAGAATACAATATTTGTGAAAATTACCACTGACAAAGCATCAACACCTAGTAGCTTTCAGTAATGAAAGAGCATCTGTCTCAAATACCATTGATAAAATAAACTGATTATAATGAAATACATGGAAACCCACAGTCATAAAATGCAAACCATATCCTACCAGTCAAAATCTCTTGCAATGTCAGTTTCAATTGATGAACTGACAATAGTGAAGTAAAGTATACTTCCCAGAGTTTGAAACTCACCAGTGATAAACAAGGTTTTATGTATGTTTAAGTAAACTTATTTACTCAGTGCTGCTGTAGACAAAAAAGGGGCTTGGGGGTTGAAACCCTCTATCAACAATCATTAAACTTATCAAGTAGACAGCAAGTGAAATGGTTGATCTGAAATAACTAGGCATTTATTTGGCAAAAATAGTATAGGATGAGGCAGAAATAATTTGGTATTTGACTCTACAGACACTACTGAAATAAAAATAGTATTTTTTTAATGTTTTGAAATTTTGCTTTTGAAATTATCTGAAGAGAAATATGTGAGTCTAAAAGCAGTAAGTAATCCCTTGCCTTATTACAGACAAAAGGAAAAAGTGTCTACTAAGTAGTTCTACTCTTTGCATTTTTGTGTATTATCATTACATCTTATTCCTAAGGCAAAGAATCTTCATTCCAAACACAAGTCTTTCCATGACTGCGTATTTTGTCATCCTTCTCTTTGATTCTGAAATGTCCTAAGCATTCTACATGAAAGCTATCTGTAAAACCATGTTCGCTTGTGTTGGTTTTCGTACTACTAACTTTGCTAATTAAGGTGCCAGAAGTCTCTTACATATCTTTGGTCTTTGTGTGTAGTTTATCCCACAAATACTACTGTCATGTATCCTTACTGTAAGATATGCTTTGATCCAATGAAGAAAATCTATTATATCCTTTTCCTGTCTAACCTACAGTAGATGCAAATACTCACTTCATTCCTGAATTTTCAGTAGCATTGAGCAAAACATAGTTTTCCTGCATTATTAGCACCAGTGAAATTTTAAACCGGCAACTAATGGTCAAAGAACTGTTCTCCATGTTTACGTTCACAGGCAATCTCAGCAGCAAAGAACACATAAGCAAGAGGCTAAAAGTTTGCCACCTACAACCAACAATTTTGCTGAGAAAGCTGAATATGAGTCCAATTTTCCCCCTCCCCCATATCTGAAAGAAAACAGAGTAATTATTTTCATTCCTTCAAATACAGCTGTTCTGGTTTCTGTAATATTGCAAAAGCAGTGGAATGTATTATTATTGTGCTTGTTAAGCCACAAAAACTGCTTTAATGTGAGTTTCTATTAACTCACATTAACTCAATTTCTAATAACTAGGAGTTAATCTCCTGAATGGTATGGACACCACAGAAAGAAATCCTCTTAGCATTCTGTATTACAATTGTGTTATTTCCCCTTTTGTAAATATTGTGCTTGAGACGCCATTTTACATGAAAATTATTTCAGAGTTTTCTCTTCTGAAATTCTCTCTATACACTGAAAAATGTTTAAAGTGCATGTCTATAATGACCACAGTAATACACTGCAAACAACTAGACCTACAGGACCTATTTGCCTGGTAACTTCTAATAAAACATTTCCTCTGTGAAAAGCCAAGCTGCTGAAAATTCTGATATAAAGAGACAAATAAAACTATAGACTGCAGCTGCAAACATTAACAAGTTTTTAAAGCCTAAATGAAGTACTAAAAGAATGCAGACAATCTTGGAAATAAGTGACCTGTAATTCTCATCTGTTTTCACTATTTGTGATGAAGATCTGGAATACCTGGAAAAAAACAAATGTAAGTAATTATTATTTCTTTTTCAGCTTGTTCTATGCACTTGGCTTCCTAACAGACACAAATTGCATATTCCCCCCTTTATCCAAGTCAAGTAGCAAAACATTTTTGTAGCTGACAACAGCAGTATATGCATAAAGTAAAGCACTAAGGAGGTAAAGGAGGCTGCAAGAGTTAATGTCAAAATATTAATTATTAAGTAGATCTAAAGTCACTTGTAATCTTTTATACACAAAGGCAGAACTGTTTTGCCAATTATTAACTACAAGAGGGTTTGTGCTCAGTTTGGAGGCAGGACATTTATATTCAAATTCATAAAGGCTTGGCAAGTAGTCATTCTCAGAAAAATGTTTTGTCAAGATAACTACAAAATTTACGCCTTGATTTTTTACCCTTAATCACTCTTCAGCAAATACTAAGTGTGGGTGTGCTGGATGGAATTATACAGTGAGCTTTACAGAAACTTCTCTGCTTTGTCACGTAGTACCATGTTATTTTTCCTTTTCTAATACACAGCACAATTTCAGAGTGAGAATTTTGTCTTTAGTATGTGCCAGGCATTCATTCCTAATACACAGTAAGTTATTCCAGATTTATGTTTGGATAACAACTGAAACTCCCCTCACTCCCATTTTAAACTAACTCTCTGCCAAGTAAAAATACTGGAGAACAGAAGTTCCAGCCAGCAAGCTTGCACAATAGCCTGATTCTATCTTCTAAATTCTGCCCTACTATCCATTTTAACTTTTCCTCATCTAACAGGATCAAAAGATTACAGTTCTTTTTCCCCACACATATTTAGTTCTCTAGTATACAGAAAAAAATTAGGAAATGGAAGATTTTTGGCATTGATAGTAATAGATTACACTAAACAGTAACAAAAACCATTGCCACAAGCCTCAGCCATATTTTGATTCTGATTAAGGGATGAAAGCTTTTTCAGGCCATAATTTATTACTCATTCATATTCTACACCTTCCTCTTCCCTTTGTCAAACCACTGACAGAAAAATGTTTGTTAACTGCTTGGCATAGGAAGACAGTACAAATACGGGAAGCAAGGGACAAGAAAACATTAAATTGGATTGCACTCAACTACTGCAATCATTTTCATATAAAATGAAATATTCTTGTTTTTGTTAACATTAATGTATCAGAAATTAATGTAATTTCTGCATGCAGATCATAAATATATGTTATTTCTACATGGCTAAATCCAAATAGTCTGAATTCAAAGACCTTAAAAAATAGATTTAACAGCATTGTCAAACCAACTCTGAAGGGCCTTATACATCCTCTTCATAATATGATGATGGAAGCTGGCAAAAGGCAAGGTATTAGGCTGGCAGAATCAAGTAAAAATCTGAAACATTCCAGAGAAAACAAATTATTTTTAAATATTTATTTTCAAGTAGCATTAGCTTACAGAAAAACTGTAGGAAAAAAAAAAAAGTCTGAGGCAAAATTGGGGGGGGAGGGAAGAAGACTACACAAAAAATTAAGAAACTCATAACAACAACAACAAAAAAAAAAAGGTAGTATCATGACTCTCTCTTCAACTCTATTTTATATTATTCTAAATCCTACAGAGGAAAATGGATTGATAGCAATATATTTCAGGGTTACCTTACATGCTAGCAAACTTGTCAAGTCAAAACTGTCTCAAGTAAAATGTCACTTACTTAAAAATGACTGGAAGTTATAGTACATTACATTAGCATTTGCTCTTATTTGAAGAACAGCAACTTGTAAACAAATAGGTGAAACAGAATTTGCAGTTACAAAGAAGACTGGCAATTATTAAGGTTAGATGGCAAAACAAGTAATCTAATAGTATCTATATGAATTCTAGGAAATGATGCCATATTCTATGCAGCCATTCTTCACTGTGCATTCTGGCCTTGTGAAATTTGATTAAAAGATCTGTATGTGGAATTCACAGGTTTCCATGCTTTTGCACAATATTTAAACTTATTTATTTAGTTTAAGTTTATTTAAAATAAAGTTTTCAAGGCTTATCTCTATAGTCTAATAAAGAAAATGAAATATTTCTAACTGAACCAGAAAAAAAAACACCTTAGCTGTATGATTCTATAATAATTGAGATCTCAAGAAGGCAAAAGGGGAGAAGGAAGCTACTCTAGATTAGTTATGGTCAAGTCCTGCGGATAAACCAGCTTGCAGTGATTAGAGCACAAATCTGAAGTACGCCTGTGGAACACTCTCCAGTTTAAGCTGGAAGAAACCTATTTCATACTCTTAAAGTCCTCTGAGAGTTGAACCAAAGCACTCTAGATGGGCATAACCATGAGATCAGTTTCCCAAGTGCACTCCTGACCTTAACTGCTAACAGCATCCACGGCTGTATTAGGAGAATCACTGCCAGCACGCTGAGGGAAGTGATCTTTCCCTTCTACTCGGCACTGGCGTGACACATGTGAAATACTGGCTCCAGTTCTGGGCATCCAGTATGAGCGACACTGGAAGGGCCGCAAAGCTGATGAAGGGCTAGCAACATCTGTCATACCAGGGCAGGCAGAGAACTGGGACTGCTTAGTCTTGAAAAGGCTCAGAGTGTCTTATCAATGTGAATAAACACCTGATGTGGGGAGGGTATCAAAGGGGTGCAAAACCAAAGCCAGACCCTTCTTGGTGTTGCCCAGTGACTGGACAAGAGGAAATAGGCACAAAATTAAATACAGGAAACTGCATTTAAACATAATAAAAATCTACTGTGAGG